CACACACACACACACACACACACACACACACACACACACACACACACACACACACACACACTGTGACACACATATACACCTGTGACACACTGACACACACACACACACACACACACACACACACACACACACATCGTGTGACATTTACTTCTTTGGTCCGTGACTTTTTTCTCAAATGATATTTAACACCGGTGATCTGCCATGCCTATGATCATCAGCCAAAATCTCCCCATATTGGACATATTGAGTTGTTAAATACGGAAATGAACATTCTCTGCACGAACTTCGCCTACGCAGTCTGAGGTTACTGAACCTTCATACCCGCCTATTAGACTAGTATGGATTTTTCCATCACTTGTCTGCTGGGATGTGGAAAGTTCCCGAACTATTGAGTGCTCTCTGTGATTTGTTACTGCGTTTCATAATGTGATGATATTCAGTTATGACAGAGGATGACGGAGTCTTACATGATGTGACTAGCTATTAGAAGGATCTAGGAATATGCAATCGCACCAACAAATATGAAGGAACGAACCTCACAATAGACTGCATCAACTATTAATCAAAATCATCTTTGACTTTGATGAAATATCACCTTCACTTATGCTGCCTTTTGATACACAGCCATTGTTTCAACACAGCTGGGTGCTAACATTTGTATGCAAGCCACGGTCCGTGCAGACAGTAATGTCGCAATGCAGTGAAATCAGTTCATAGTTCGGCGTCCTTCAGTCGATTAAGACAAAAGAAAGTACGAGCTTACGAAACAGAAAATACTGCAGAAAGCTACAGAACCACAACATATTATTGCAAACCCACAGCAATTTTCACAGTTTCATAACGACAACGTAACGTAAAAAGTACGTCCTTGACAAATTGGGGACTTCCAATGAGTCACGTTCGGCTGGGCGGAACTGGACCGAACAGGTTAGACATCTGGCATGCCTGGCTCTGATTGGTGGACTAAAAATAACATGACGTCACAGGACGTCACCAAGACGTGAGACGAATCCCTCTTCCTTTTCGTATATCCATCCGCAGAATTCCTAGAGAAAGATAAAGTAAGAGATTTTTTCCACAAAAATATTACATTCTAGATAAACAAATCATTGTATTTTATTCGATAGGATTGCCAAATGTAAAATTTTTGCGATAGAAATGTCAAAGAATTGGGATTTGTTCTGGAACTATTTTCTGACGGGTAAGGTTATTGGCAGTACGTCGCCCGAACTGCTATATAAACCGTTGTTTGGCCCTGTTTTCTTACGGCGTCACCAGATTTTCCTCGGAGCGGTTGGTGTGTCGTACGTGAGCGCATTTTGGTGACTTTTCTTCGTAACTTAGCGCGATTTCGTGCCGTAGATTTTGGTCTACATTGTTCTTGGATCAGTATTTGGGGCTCATTCTACCGCTCGTATAAGCTAGCTATGCCGAAATTGTAAGTTTGTTTTGAACGGGTTTGGTTTTAGAAGATGGACGCCATGATTGTGTCGCATTCGTCTGTTTTTCTGACGGCATTTTGCCCGATTTCTTGTACTTCTAAACCGCTATGGCGCCGTAACTTGACTACATTGTCGATTTTAGCCATGTACGATTCATTTTGGAACTCTAGGCCAGTATTAGGCCCGTTTAGGTAGAATTTTCTGGAACTTGGTTCAAGTTGTTTACGCGGAGAGGAAGGTCATTATGTATGCACGTCACGCTCTTTGTCTGGGACTACGTCATGACTACGTCACGCCAAGGGAGGGGCTTATGGCCGGAGGGTGGGGAAAATGTTGCTGTGTCTTTTCCGAGTGCCTCTCAATGTAGGGCCCGTCAGCTCAGCGTCCCATCCTGGCAGTTTCTGGGGGCGAGAGGCAGTCCGGCGGCGGCAGCAGGAAATTCGTAAGGTATTTTACCGGGAGCGCTTTTATGAACTTTGTTTTTGTTTGCGTTATGCTTATATTACAGCGTCACTGGGCTAAGACCATATTAGGAGGTGGACGCTATGTCACCAGACCAATTTGCATGTCATGATACTTAGCAGTAGGTTTATAAGTGTAGTGCATTATCATTTGTGCGTACTTAACTTTAGTGTGAATTATCTTGAATACTCTGATAACAAAATACAAATGTGTAATGCTTATAAGAGTGAGATAATGTGGTGGGTGCAGTTTGAGATATGTAATGAATAAAAAAAAATTATGCATAAATTATGATATGTTTTTACATAAATTATGATACGTTTTTACAAGTGATAAGTGTGAAATGGCTTGATTAAGCTTGAAGTTGATGAGGTGTTGATTAGTGTGAAAAGTAAATGGTGTTACGGGTGATTACTAATTAAGTGCTGTCTACGCACAAATGTGAGGTTGGTAATTAGGGTTTGTTTGCAAAGTTGTGTGTGGTTGATTGCATATAAATATATTAGATTTGTTTGGTTTTGATATAGGTAGATATTTTAATTTAAACAATACTTCTCAGGGATAAGATTTTTGGGTTTGCAATGTGTGAAAATTGCGAGGTGTTGGGCCAAAAGAAAATGATTGCAAAGTGTGGAGCTGGAAATAATTTGTGAGGTGCTGGGCTGAAAGAAAAAGAAAGACAGGCCAAAGTGTCATGTGTTTGGTTGAAAGAAAGATAGATCAAAGGTGTTATGTGTTCTTAATGATTGAAGTCAGTGTTGTATGCTATTGCAAGTTGAACAAATTATTTTGGGAATGTGGGGATATCTTAATTTAATCTTACAGAGATGCCTTTGCTTTAGAAAATTCAGCCAAGAGAACCTAACCAGACCAGGTTGGTTATTTGACATTTTAGTTCTGTTTGTTGATTTGTGGCATTGAGTTATTTTTTTATTTGCAGCCCATAAAATTTACCATGCTGGTTCAGAAAATCTATAATGACAAATATTTTAGCGCATTTTATGCCTTTTTAAAAGAGAAGCCCACTTCAAGAGAAACACATCTTGCAAAATTCTTTCCCATGAAGTATTTTTTCCTTCTCTAAAATCTAGATGCTTAGATAGGAATTTGCTGTGCTTAGAAAAAGTTGGTTTCTTCTTACAGGTGATGTCATCTTTCAACTAAACCGGATAATGACAGCATAAATCGATCGTCTCCGCAGCTAGTGTGACCTCCGCTTAGAAAGACTCGTTAGCTTGGGCTAGAATGTTTAAAGGTCAGGTTAGTCAAGGTGAATCGAGCACCCTTTTTTATTTTTTCTAACTACAAAGCAAATTGCCTGTATTTTGCATTACTGATAGGTCATGCTAATATAAAGATTAACTGTTTGAAAGGTTTTGTCTTCTTGATTGTTTTTTGTGTGTCGGGGAGGGGGGTGTAGTTAACCACATGGTTTTTACCTTTCTGTCCCAGCCAAATAGTACAAGGTCTGCCAGCAAGATAAAGAGTTGTCCCAAGAGAGGCCCTCCCAAGAAAGGCCCAGGGAGTAAAGGTCCCCTTGGAGGCAGAGGTAAAGGAGATAAGGTACCTTAGAAGTTGGAACATTGCCAAGAAAGGAGCTAGCGGTGGGGAGAGGCACCATATGGCCAAGGTAAATGCCACCCAGTGATCATAAGGAGCTTAGGAAAAGGCAGCAAGCTCAGGTTGAGTGAAGACTAGTGCCAGGAGGTTAGTGTGTGCAGTCAGGGAAGAGAGCCAAATTTCCAGTGAAGGACGTGTGAAGCCAAAAATTGCATGCAGATGCCTACAAGTCAAGCAGCTCATTATAATTGCTCAAGCCTTCGTCAACATTTGTGCTACTCCAAATCATCACATCTCTGTAGAAGAACTAAAATCTGTGCCAGTTGTCACTATGGTGTGTCTTCCTTCAAGTGAAAAAATTCCTTCTAGAAGCCATCCTCATCTTTTGGACTAATGGTAAAACTGCTGCCATGTAAGTGTTGTTGCTTTGCATGTTTGCTGGTGTGTTGTCTACCTATCTCTCAAGCAGCCCAGGACTAGAAGAGAAGACAAGCAGCTAAAGTAAGCAGACTTCATAACATTCCATTGCAAGTGGACGTGAAATAGCCAGGCACCCCTAGATGAGAAGGTTGGTTTCCCTACAAGCAAATTTTCAAGCTACCCAGTGAATATGGTGACAGGCAAGTGGTTTAAATGTGGGATTGTATATCTCTTACCAAAAAGTGCGGCTGATCTGGCAACTACAAGCAGTTTCAGGTTCGTGTAGGTGATGACCAAGATTTTTCCCAAGAACTAATATCAAGTCAGACCACAGGAAGTGTAAGCAGCTCAGATTTGTTTCTCACCCCCAGAGTTAGAGGACATTCTCAGGAATCTATGCTGGTCTACAAGCCATCAAAGTTAATAACCTGCTCTATGATTGTCTTCAAAATGGTTTCTTACCCCCAAGGTGCAGTACTACGGTGAGCGAAGTACGTTATTCAGTCAAAGAACTACTGAAGAAAATTGCAAGGTTGGATCTTAGCAGGTCAGAAGATGTGTGTTTCAGTGGATTGATTGAAAATTGGTGTTTTCAGGAGCAAAAATTCAAAAAGCCAATGATGCAAGGGACTTAGACATTTTCACACATTTGCTGATTGATTGATTGGTTTGTATCTACCACAGACTTGTTGCTGTCAAAGTGAGTGCTGAAATGGAATTTTAAAACCATTTTCTGAATTGAGGAAATTCAACTCCATTGTTAAGCAGTGATAAACAACAGCAAGTGATTCTTCATGTGCATTTCATTGAGCTAAAATGGACTTCAACCTAAAGGGCTAGGAGCAGAATAATGCAGACATACTACAAGCTGAAGGCAAGGTGCTTTTGTTTTTCATCAGTCGTAAGAGGAAAGGAAAATTCAAGATGGACCAAAAGAAAGGCAGGGAAGTGTTAACCATTTGGAATATGGGGGATGGACTTTCAACTAGGTGACAAGAAAGGGAGTATGGACTACCTCAGTTTACACATTCCTACCTCAATCGGTATGCGGGGTTGTAAGATCGTATCTCTAGGATGGACGAGGTGACAGAATTCCTGATGCAAGGCGTAGAGTGTGTGGGCTACAGCTAAGGTCACGCAGCGACTGACGAGTGGATGGAAGGGTGACACTAGAGCAGTAGAGGGAGGTGTGGACGCAGGGGTGCCAGCGAGTAGTCATGACTGCGAAAGGAAGGGTGTACGAAGAAAGGGCGGAAGGCTGTGTGGGTCATCGACCGTGTGGGGAAGACTGGGAAATGGTGTGACAGAAGGGGTCCTGTGGGTACCAGGTGACCTAGTGTATCAGGTAATAGATTTTTACTAAGATTCTGTGGTTTATGTCAATTATGACTTTTTGTGACCATTTGAAAGTATCACTTTTCCAGCCTTTGTAGGCATTTTGTCTTGAGGGGTTTGGGGGGAAACATTTTTTTAGCCCCTCTTTACGCAGGTGAACCCAGGAAGGGACGGTAACCACAAGCAAAGCTTCCAATGTTGAACAGCTCTCCCCGCGAAGTTGCTGCCGTGTCATAGATACTACCCCATAAAGGAGCATCCCAAACGCGACCTGTACCAATGGCTTACTCAGATGAGAATGCTTTTTGCTTATTGTGTCCGTTAAAAACCAACTTGTTTGGTCCCATTGTGGAAGTCTTGATCTATCAATTGTAGAAAGACGATATTCTAAGTATAAAGTAAATATACCTTACAAGTATCTAATTGTTTAAAAACTTGAACGAAATCTTGGTTTCCTGCGCTGTGTGTTTTTGTGAGGGTTTGGGGGGGTTTCCAATTCCTTTCTCCAGCCCCCATTACAGGTTTGTCTGCAAATGGCCCCGTCCTGTTCACTACAAAGGCACGCCCGTGGTCCAGAGGCATAGCTGCCTGTGCTGCTACTACTATCCTCCTCTAGGAGTCTCTGTCCAACAAATGCTGCAGCAAGCCAATTCAACTTCATCTGCGCAGCAATCTTCAGTCATCTGTCACAAAGCCTACTACTGTATCTGTACACCCACTGACAAGCAGTGCTTGGGAATTGGTAACAGTAAGCTCTGTCCGCTTATCAATTAGATGTACTCTCTAAAATTAAAAGTTGAAAAGAAAAAAGATCCTCACACCATAATGTACTATAACTCACATCCTCAAAGTTTTGAACTTATGGAAGCTCAGTGTTTTTTGGATTTTCTTTTCTTGACCATTTTTTGGTGTAACCCTGGTGTTGTGGTAGTATGGGATGGGGTGGGGTCTTTTTGTTCCTATTTCAAGAACGCAGGTGTCTGGATAACTCCAGCAGCAGGAGGTGTCCCCCCAACATGTCCTCTGTCCCAAGGCGCTACCCCGCAAGTCAGCATCTACCCATGGCCACGGTGTACTCCATTGTCAACCTGGCCTCGCACACGCTGAATGAGAGCAAGTTTGTCGACTTCGGGCCACAGATTAGCTCCTGTCAAAAATCTGCTGCGTCTTTCGTTGTCTGTGCAAGTGTGGAAGCATGGTTAAGGCAAGATATGTACCTACTACTTTGTGTCATGATCCTTTCAACAGATCCTTGTACTGTACTACTTTGTTGCAAGCATGATGATGGTTATATAGCAGTATGCAAAGCACTGGAAAGCATGTGAACAAGCTACTGTGTAGTTTTGTCCTTACTATACTTTATCTGCATTTTGGGGCTCGGGGGGATGTGGACATGCTTTTTTCTTTCAAGATGTCCGCTAGGTTAAGCCCTACAAGACGCGATGGAAGCACAACTCGCCTGATGCTGCACAGTGACTACATGCGGGTGTCCTGTCAGCACAGTAATACAGGGTCCAAATGCACCAATCTACGGGGAATACAGGGTCCAAACCTGCCAAGCTACAGGGTCCAAACCAATCTGCAGGGAGCAAAGGCCAAGGCCTGTACCAATCGCGGTAGATCCAGTTACAATATTTTCCATGTGTCAAATCTGCTGTAGCTCAATGTAGCCAAATTAATTTCTAACTTGAGGTGTTAGCACATCCGTTGTACTGTGCATAAACTTCCTTTTGTGTATTAGCGACAATACCAAACCATAAAATCAGCTGTGTGTGTGTGATAGCTTGCTCATAAAAAAAAACAAGTATAGCGTCTATTCTGTGTAACCTGTACATATGTACTCCTTTTGTTACTTGGTATCTGTACACTTTGTTCCTTATTGCCTTGAACTACCAATATTTTGCAAAGAGCGTTAACTGCAAACAACTATGCGTAATAAAAGGTTTTTGCTGCAAGTGTTTGAATGGGGGTGGGTGGGTTCTTTGGTGTTTCCTTAGACTTTGTTACAGGTGTAGGAAACTTCCATCAGAGAGTGGGACTACAGTAGATGGGAACCTCTTGTCTTCCACAACATTCCTGTCAAACCCTTGAGCTGTGCAAGTCTCCCAACAATCCTCACTGCACTGCAGTCACAGAACAGCCACCAACTTCGCAATCTGTGTGGGATAAAAGCGCATCGCATACATCAGCAAAACATCTGTCAACATTCTCCGTCCTGAAAGCCTGTCTCCTGCGAGTCCCTTCTGCCAAACGCACAAACCCTTGGTATTGTGATTTCCTCTTAAAATAACAGCATCATGACAAGCCCTACCCTTTTCAAAGATCTGCAATTACTCTTTGTCTTACTGGTTAAATGTGTTCCATATACTTTGCAATGCAGTGCACTTGAAATAATTATGTATGGTATAGAGAACTTACTGTAGTAGTTCTTGCATTATTCCCACTAAAAAGCACTTAAGTAGATAACCAGCCATAAAAGTTTTGTCTACTAGTATATTGAAGTGGCACTTGTGTTTCTGCTTTGTATTGTCTTTGGGCTGGGGGTGGGTTTTATGTCCGCTGTTCTTCCCCTTCTCGAGATTTAGGTGTATCACAGCTGCAGCTAAGATTGTGCATTTTCCTGAGCAAACATCACCACCAGACTCCTACCTAAACCCTTGACACAAGTCTAGCAGTCCATGCCAGCTGACGTCAAATCATCATCTGCACTCAACTTCTCTAGATCAATCCAGGTTTATGTATGTGCTGTGCTTTATTCCTTTTAGCTGTTGTTAGTTTCTAGCCTCTTGTCACAAGCAAATCTTGTATGCTTCAAGGAAGTAGAGAAATAGAAGGAAAAATTGAGTGATTGCCTCATACTATCAGTGCATATGATAGAACCAAAGCTGGAGTTGATGTTGACTATTGTGCAATATTTGAAGAACCTATTGCTGGGGGGGTTGTTGGGAATATCTGTTTATCTGTTTTCCGAGTCTTTCTTTAGGCAATCCGCGCCTGTGACCTGTCCCATGTGTCTTCGCGCAAACCACAGCTTCTGTCATCGTGATCCAATAACGTGGTACAAGCCCGCTTAACTTCACTGTGCAACTGATTTCCTACGGGGTAATGTCGGTACGCGAATTTATAAGTTGTTAACAAGCTTCGGCTTACACTTCTGACCATTTTTTTTTTCATAAACCAATGTACATGGTTTTAACTAGTTACAATCATCCTTTGCTGTGAAGTAACATTTAACTGTCCTGTCCTTGCGTCATTGCCATTCATAACTATTCCCAGGGTTTAATATTGTATTAACTTGTGTAGGGTTGGGGATTTTTGTGGCTGTTTTCTTTCCCCCGCTGTTACTGCAGAATTAGGTTGTGTCCCGAACATGCGCTCCAAACCTTGCATATCCAGAGTATCACTTCATGTGCGCTCGCTGCTTTAGAAGAGAGAGTTGTGGTATGCGTTTAAAATCATTTGAATGTACAGTTGAGTCCAATATGTCTTCCCTTGTACTTTGTGTATGGATATGATCACGTTTTAAAACCTTGTCATTGTCGCAACATTCTTAATCTTTATACTTACTATAAAGTATGAAAATGTTGCCAAAAAAGCATGTACCTACTAGCGCTGTAAATCTTGATCTGTTGAGCACAATTAATCTTGAATGAAGTACAATGATCCTAAACATTGTCAAACCTTATGTTGGAATGCTTGTCATCAAGGCTTATGCTACCATTTTGTCTTTCGCATGGTCACTACTTTTTGTATTGTACATACTGCATATGGTGTTTTTTGGGGAACAG